TGGTTATAAAACAAAACAAAAAAAGGTGTTAGACTTCAAAAGGGGCATCTCCTGCCATCCTGCCACTTTGGGGTTGAGACATAAAAACCTCCATTAGCCTGACAATTGTCCCCCTCTCTTGGTACACCAAATGTTGTTTTTCCCTCTAATTACAACTGCACTGACTGTACCAAGGTTTATTGGGATAGTATGCTTTATTTCTTAGAATATCAGTCTTTTTCTAAAACATTTTATATGGCACTGGTTTGTGTGGTATTTATGGGAAATAAGCTGCACTAAAGTTTCTATACTTGCCTGAGATTTATGTAAAAGTCAAAAACCTTTTTCTTCATTCTTCTGTTTGGTGTTAAAAGAATAGCAAGGAAAGGGAGATATCCCGCTTCCATATAAGAAAATGACTGTTAATCATGTCATAGCCATCTTGGTGAATGCCTGTGCTATACAAATATTTCCTGTATGATAATGCAATACTGAATAAAAACAATAACAAATCCTGTATTGTTCTTTGCTGATACATCAGCACCAATTTGAAATTTGCCACATCTCCACTCCACAGTTGATGTTCAAGAAGGGTAAAGTCAAATTTCCAGTTTATTTTGTTACGTTTTTCACTACTACCCCATATATCTGGGATAGTTCCAAATAGCATTCTCAAGGCATCTTAGTTGGTTTGTTTAAGGTGCTTAGATCAATGGCCATGCTGGAAGATCATTCTTCTTTCTGTTTTAAGCCTGCACAGACTGACAGAATCTTGTTCCTTTATTTTCAAAAAGAAGCACTGATGTAATGAATATGCAATGCAGCCATTGCCTGTTCAAGTCAATCTTAGCTTAAACAGCTTTATTCTCAGCAGAACACAAAAGTAAAAATCTATGTCTGTGGGTGTACACAGTACATACTGCACCTTCATTACTACAGCCAGTGTATGCTTTTATGTTATGACATTGACTGCACAACACACCACCCAATAATTGATGTCATACAATGGCAATTAAAAAATGTATCGGTGCTTAGTAGCTGGGCATTTACATAAGTGTGAGTACTCGTGAAAATGTCCAGTATTGGCACCAATACTAATAACGGTAAAGGTGTCAACACCAGTAATGGCAGGTGGTTTGGGGATGGCGTATAATGCCGCACCCCTGGAAAGTGCCTCTCAAACCAAATTCCTTGTTTGCCTTGCGGCAGATATGCCCCTGGAGCTACCGCCGCACTGCAAGGTATACCTGTTTGTTTTAGTCTAGGTGCTAAAAACAAAATTATAATCACTCCGAGCCGATCCAACTCCCTGCTTCTTTAGTCACTAAAGCGTTTCTCCTCCTCCGCTGACCATCTGGGATGCTTCTCAGCATCCTCACATCTATACACTTGTATAGAACGTGATGGCACTAGAATTTTTGTGCCGCTGCAGTGGAGGGGAAGTGGGGCTCTAGGGACGGGTTTAAGAATAAGACGGCTTGGATGATTGGGTGATAATAACTTTATTATTTAAGCAACTAGACAAACAAAACACACTTAACTCTTGCAGTGCAGGAGTAGCCCCACTGCAAGGGTTAGTAAAAATGTACTTTTAAAGCAGTGCTTGACAATGACAGTAAGCTGCAAAACTAACCAAGGAAAGAGTGGTGTTGCCGGCCTAGCTACTCAGTTAAGGTTCAAATCAGTTATTCATAGGTACACACAGTTATACAAACTTAAATTGCACATATTCCCACACTATGCACACTAAAGTATTTAGATATTATAAAATCACTTCAAAACAAGCCCTTTCACTTATTTAGATATTGGCAATGTGGCTGAGCTCTTTTCATATTTTCCATCTGTCCATAGTCTGGGCAGAGGTGCTCCTGAAATTGCGATTAATATCAATGTGGCTGTTGTTTGGGTCTTCTAATACCTAACAATTACCCTATAGCTGAGTTGTTTTCCTTTAGGTTTTTAATCATAAAAATATCTCAAACATCTAAAACATACAGTATGTAAGGATCAACTGTACCAATCTGCTTGCTAGATCAGTTTGTCATGTACTATATATTATCACAATCCTAAGTGTAAACTCCACTCCTCCAGAAGGAATGCTCAGTGCATCGTCAGCAATATCCCATACTCTCCTCAGATGTTTTATTCTACAGTCATGTAAAGTTGGATAATATTGATTAATTGATTGCCATTACTTGATTTAACTCCCCGCTTCCCAAAATAAGGCTGAATATCCAAGCTGTGTCTGTCCGGCTTTCCAGTGATTTCTAAGTGGGCGTGTGTGGTTTAGGATGCACTGTTTGTAGAGAGTTGTACGTCACCAAGGATAACCACCTGCCACTTAAAAGACGGCATTTCAGATGGCCTGATCTGCATGTTTATTGGAAGTCTTCCTTTTCAGGACACAGTGAAGGGAATTTATCAAGATTGGAGCAAACAAAATTTGGAGCCGGTGCCCAGGGCAACCAATCAGCTTGTTTCTTCAGTAAAGATTTGAAAATGAAAGAGAGCAGATGATTGGTTGCAGGCACAGCTGCTCCAGGTTTTCTCTTCTCCACTTTTGATAAATTCCCTCAGTATGTTTTGAAAATTTGGAAAAATGCAAGGACATTTAGATAGATCAGGTACCATTTGTTCTGCACAGAGAGAAATACATCAGCTATCCCACAAATGCAAATGCACCTATAAATCAATTTAGGTCTAAAGCCTTTTGGTTAGACTTTTGTAGTCGATAGCTGCATACAGGGTCGGATTAAGTGCATCATAGGTCTGGTGATGAGGATTTGAGTGGGCCTTTTTATAGAAATACATAAAAAGAAAACATTTTAATTACCATTGAAGTGCATTAATAAAACATTGTATATCTTAAACACACAGAATAAACAGGCTTTTCACTAAACCCCAAATTACCTAAATGAGGCAAATTGGTAGATTAAAATTAAACTACACATTCACTTTCCATGCTATTTTTGCTTGTAAATTCGACAATTGTAGAATCGACCAATTAAACTGCAAGCACATTTTATATATAATATGTAGAAAACATCATGTGACACAGAACGTTCTGCTGAGTCCTGGAACATCTGTTGCGGCTACTAATGGGTTGAAGGTGGCAAAAATCCTGTGTAATAAAATTTGTTAGGAGGCCTTACACTTACCACCAATGTGTCAGCGATATTCACACTGACCACCAATGTAACAGAGATATTAACACTAACCACTAATGTAACAGAGGTATATACACTGACCACCAATGTAACGGAAGTATTCACTCTGACCAGCAATGTAACAGAAGTATTCACACTGACCAGCAATGTAACGGAAGTATTACAACTGACCAGCAATGTAACGGAAGTATTACAACTGACCAGCAATGTTACGGAGGTATTCTCACTGACCAGCAATGTAATGGAAGTATTCACACTGAGCAGCAATGTAACAGAGGTATTCTTACTGACCAAAAATGTAACAGTGGTATTCACACTGACCAGCAATGTAACAGAGGTATTCTCAGTGTGCAGATGAACACGCACACTCAGCTGAATCCAACCTTCCTGTTTATAGTACATTATTTGATTGGCTAAATCTATCAGTGTCTACTATTACCCCCTGTCAGTGAGCAGACCACATGTGACCCTCATCACCCCTCTGCTCCCACTCTCCCCCACATCCCCTCTGCTCCCACATCTCCC